TTTAAATTAATAATTTCCCCTTTTCTAGTTCCTGCATTTCTGACACGAGACGAGACTGATAACACAATGCCTGTTTAAGACAATTTCCAATTCACACAGATAAGCTTTTAAAATGTAGCCAGGGATAGAAAGTAGAACTGCAAATGAATATCACTGGAGAAATTAATATAGCTAGGTTGAGTTCAACTGTGTTCACATACACATTCTAGAAAAAGGAGTTCAAAATGTAAGAGGATTCAAGCCAGAGAATTTCTGATTAATTACTCATCTCTGTTTTACAAGAATTGTTAAATTACTGATACTCTCTTTAATTATACTAAGGCGTTCCCTACCCAAATAGGAGAAAACATTTTTACAAAACAAGTTTTTCAGTGAGTCAACCAGGAACCAGTCCATTTTTCTTAATGTTTTATTTTTTAGCTTACCCTTTTTACTAAGCTCAATAGCAGCTTCCAGAAGAACTTCTAACTCTCCCTTAGGCAATACAGGAACAACCCATCGAGGTCTAAGAAAACATAAGAATATACTCCATTTTACATTACATCTAAATTTTCCCCATTTGTGTATTTTATCCCAAATATCTGGGCCACAAATTAAGATACACTTAAGAAAAATCTGCCCTAATTTGATACCATTCTTTGTAAACAATTCAACTTTTTACATCCACTCGTTTAGCAACTGAGGTCCATTCCAATGACCAGGGTGGTAAGCAAAATGGTTGCTACATGGGAGAGGGAGAGGGAGAGGGAGAGGGAGAGATGTTGTGAAGCTCACTGGGTTGCTGCCATCTCATTCAGATCAAGTTCTCATATAGCTACACCAGCATTATTCTTACTCCGGCATACGTTATTGTCAGGCATACAAAATTTGGTCATAAATGCACAGATTGGTCAGAAAATGAATTTTTTATTTCTGTCGTATTTGCGATGGTCACTAACTGAGGTAGTTGCCAAACACAGAGTGGGTATATTTACTTAAATACTACTGGAATGTATCCAAAATGCTAACAGAAGTTAACTGCACAACTGTTACAACTTTTAATAATTACAAAAATGTTAAAGAAATAACCTGTTGATCATGTCATCCAATTTTGCCAAATCAGTGTGTGGAAATGCAGGCTCTTCATCTTCAAGTTGTGGTGGGGCATCACCTTGACCCTGTTCATCAGGGGGGGTAGCTGGGGAATTCTCATTTGAAGAATCAGGTGAAGAAGTCTGAAATGGAAACTATGTATTTCAATGAACTATTCAAATTCCATCATTTTTGCTTATAGCTTCACTGTGAGTATTTAAACAAGACTCAAAATTGAGATCCTGGAAAGGTTAGGAAGGTTGATTATCGTTTTCTGATTAGTTAGGTTTTTAAATTCAAGACATTACTAAAACGTAACCGTGTGCTAATATTTCCAAGTATGGTCAATGACAGACCTGCTTTGTTCTTCTTACAACCACACTAATACACTTGTCACTCTCATTCCACTGCTACACGTACAGTATTTATTTTCACTTTATCGCAAGCTTGTGTGTTTAACTTTTGACTACAGTAATGGCATCTAGAGATCTCGGATTTCTCTTTTTGATAGGATACTAATTTAATTTTTTTTTAATTATATTTCTCCAAAATTAATGAAATTTTAATATGGTATCTGTTTCTAACCCTGCTAAAACGTGTGATCATTTAGGGTCTCTATATCATCTAAAAATATGAAATAGCACTCATGCCACCTACACAAAATAAATCTTTGATAAAGCTTAGGTTCAGAGTGCCATGAACTTAAACACTTTGCATGCCAAGAATTCTTCCAGATGAGAGGAAAATACACTATCCACCACTGTGCTCCTCTTTTAATTCCTGCTGATTGCCTCAGTGTTCCTAGTATAATTTATATTATCGTATATCAATTGTTTCTCTGTTAGTATAGAAAGCATAAATTTTCTCAGGAATACTGACAATCTTCCCAGTCCATCAAATGCATTATTTCTACTGTAGGATCATCAAAACACTAATGCAGTTACCCTCCTTGTAGAGCAAGAGTGGTTAGATTATACTAAAGAGCTAAAAATGCACTCCTATCCTCATCCTGACATTGAACAAGGCACACCCATAGCAAGCATAAACATCTGATTATCAAACCCAATCAAAATTTCTGGAGCCTTGCTTATAAAGCATGTTACTTTATGAATATTTTAAAAACATATATCACAGTATAGGTATCCCTCACTTACTGATGATAATCAGGACCGGGAACTCCTTCACTAAGTGGTACAGTTATAAGGTGCGATGTCACATGACCGTGCCAACTTACAATGGCAGTTCCAGCAGTCCCAGTCTGTTGTTAGATGAATCCCGTGTGGTCACAGCATCCCTCGGTCACATGATCGCCATTTGTGACTTCCTGCTGGCTTCCCCACTGACTGCTTGTTAGAAGCCAGCAGTGAAGGTTGCAAATGGAGATCATGTGACTATGATCATGCTGCAACATCGTAACTGTGAGCTGGTTGCCAAGTGCCTGAATCGCAATCATGTGACTGCAGAGATGCTGCGATGGCTGCAATTATGAGGACCTGTCATAAAGCTCCCTCATTCAGTGCTGTTGTAACTTTGAATGGCCGCTGAATGAGTGGACGTTAAGTGAGGACTACCTGAATTTGCAGCCAACAGTAGCTTCCTACTATCAATTCTGGAATTTCATATAACAGCAAGAATTATAAAAGAAGAACTAATTAGACTTATTGTTACATTTAGTTGAAAGTATCTGTATTTTGCAAAGATATATTCAGCATACCTGATTCTGCTGGAGTGGAGGCTGGGACTGTCCATCAGGAGCCTGTCCCTGACTGTCATTCCCTCCCACTGGAGAGCCACGAGTCGTGGCTGTCATACTCGAAACAGGGCAGATTTTTGCAATTTTGTCTGCTTATGTAGTTGTTGAGAGAGAAAAACTTATAGTCCGCTTAATAAAGTTGAAGTACCAGCGTAGATCTGTTTTAAAAAGCTCCAACTCAAGAACAAGCCATCTTGCAGAGACCATTGCATAACCTGAAAGATAATTTAATACATCATGTTGTTTTAAGTATTATCTTGAACATACAAAAATAATGCCATTCAAGGAACAGAAACATTCTCTCTTTCTTATAAATCCACCCAAGAATCAGATTATCTAAGGAACTATTACAGTGAGGGCGAACCTATGACACGCGTGTCAAAGGTGACATGCCACAATGTTTTGGGTGATGCCAGTGTTCACCAACACCCAACAACTATTCTCCCTATTTGAGTTACCAAAGAAACTGAGGTTTTACTCGTATTTCATTTCTGTAATTATTTGATGTTTCTTTATATAATGCATAGTTTCTTTATATAACACACAAATGGACTCTATTTTTTTTTAAATAAATGAATATGTAAAGAATTGTTTCTCTTTTGTTCAGGGGGCAAGGTGACACGTCAGCAGAGTCAAGTTAGGCATTTTCTGGATTTTTGACACGCCAAGCCCAAAAGGTTCACCATCACTGGCCTATTATATTCTTCTAGAACTAAACAATGGGAATAAATGAATTTACCCCATGAGCTTCAATTCCACGACCCAACCACCTTTCTTTTCTCTTAGAATGTATCTGTTTTATATTTTAGAAAAACATTATCATTTGGCATTGCAAAAACAACACTGTGCCAACACAGAGCACTTAGAAATGTTAACCTATGGCCAATACTGGGCCAGTTTTAATTAGTGGTTCCTTGTTAATTCTCCTGATAAAGCTCTATTTCAAATAATATGTAAGTAAAATGTATGTGTCCAGCCAACCTCTGCTGATCTAAAAACGTTAATGAGTACTAAACCAGGTAACACATGGATGTAAGATCATCAGAAAATATTAGGACTGTATGTTAGACTGGGAAGTCAAAACAAAAGAAAATAAAAAATCTCAGAAGCAAGCAATAGCAAATCCCTTCCTACTGTTGCCAAGACAATTCCACAGATATGTCCAGGAAATCACCAGGAGGCTACCTTAAGTTGAAGGAGACTTTCACATTTACAGTACATAGAAGTCAGTTTTGAAGATCTGAGCAACAAATTAACAGCTATTTATATTCAACTATTAAACTGAATAGTTTAAATTTACCAGAACATTTAAAACAGACACTAGACTGCGCTAAAGTGTATTCAACGGCTCTTCAGTGTCACAACTCTTTTTCTATATACTGTATGCTACAAGATATAAGATAGAGTGTGGCACATTATTATTAATATTTAATAAGTATTTTATTTCATCTGCTACCCCCATTCCACAGGATAATGAAATGTTTACAATTTTTTTTGAGCCTGATTCACTTGTCCTAGCATATCAGAGCATCTTAGTGAAGGCTATAGAACAAATTTAGATAGAATACAGACTAGATGATATCAGTAGTTACTAAGATGAACTATCTAAATAGGTCTAAAGACAAACTGTAACCAGCATTTAAATCAGAAAGACAAAACTGGAAGTAAATTGCTTGCTTATACAGGTGATCCTCGCTTAATCACCACTCATTCAGCAACTATTTGAACTTCTGACAGTGCTGAATGAGTGGTAGTTACAAACAGTCCTCAAAGTTCCAGCTGGTGCAGCGTTCCTGCAGTCACATGATCGCAATCTGGGCACTTGGCAACAGGCCTGGATTTCCAACCATTGCAGCGTGCCACGGTCACTTGATTGCAATTTGTGACCTTCCCTGCTGGCTTCCCACAAGCAAAGTCAGTAGGAAGCTGGCAAGAAGTCAGAAGTTGCAATCACGTGAGGTCCTTGCTTAACAACGTGCTCAGTCCTCATTTAACAATGGTAACAGGGACTGCCGGAACTGCTGTCACTAAGCGGTGTGTTCCTGTGACATCACGCTTTATGACTGCATTACTTAGCAACGGCAGTTCCGATCCCAAGTGCTGTTGTTAACTGAGAACTACCTGTATTTTCTAAGATAGACTTCCACTCCAAAATTACAATATCAGACTATTCTATTGTTACAAAGATTAGTCGCTTTGAAGATTCAAGTTTAGACTCAAAAGATATTTGTTTTCATTTGTACACACATGATTACTTCACTTGCTTCAGCAGTCAGAAATATAAAGAAAGGCACTGCACAGGAACGTTATATTAGTTACTTTTACAACAGTTGTAGATCAACATTCAGAACCTGCAATATAATCTAATCATAACAACTTGGGGATAATGTAAAGTTTTGGGCTGGTACCAGAGAAATCCAGGTTCAGCCACAGTAACTCACTAGGTGATTTTGGGCCAGTTACTCTCTCTCAGCCCAATCTACAGTATTTCAGAATTTTCAATATTTCTGCATAAACATGAGCTAAAATGTGATCTGTTCTCCACACAAGTCCTAAAACTAGATAAAGAGAACCGAATTAAACAAATAAGTCAAAAGCATTATACTAGTTCACTGATTTATTGAGGAAAATGACTCAAAGCTACACATTTATGTGGCAGATGTGAATCTCTAGCATTATCAGTTCATTTGAAGGAGAAATTAGAGTCAGGTGTTTCAATCAATGGGATGATAATCAGGTATGAGTGTGGGAGGTCCTACCTTATTTAAAGAACAAAATTCTGGGCATTCACTATCAAAAAATGATCTTCACAACACAGGTATGAGGAAGTGTGTCATGGCTTGAAGAAAGGAAACTTCTGAGGACCTCCGAAAAAGAGTGGTTGATACCAGGCTGGTAAAGATTACAAAACTATTTCCAAAGAGTTTGAACTCCACCAGTCCACTGTCAGGCAAATTGTGCATAAATGGAGGCAATTCAACATCACTGTTAGCCTCCCCAGGAGTGGTTGACCAACCAAGATCATACCAAAAGCAAGGTGTGTAACACTGTGGGACGTCTCAAACCCCAGAATAACATCTAAGGAGTTAAAGGCCTCTCTTGCATTGGCAAATGTCACTGTTCATGAGACCACCATCAGGAAAACACTGAACAACAATGATGTGCATGGCAGGGTTGCAAGGAGAAAGCCACTACTCTCCAAAAAGAACATTGCTACCCATCTATAGTTTGCAAAAGACTACATGGATAAGCCAGAAGGCTACTGGAAGAAAGTTCTGTGGACGGATAAGACCAAAAGAAAATGTTCAGGTTTGAATGAAAAGTGTTATGTTTGGTGAAAGGCAAATACTGCATTCCAGCATAAGAATCTTATCCCATCTGTGAAACATGATGGTGACAGTATTATGGTTTGGGCCTGCTTTGCTGCCTCTGGATCAGATGACTTGCTATCATTGATAGAACTACAAATTCGGAATTGTACCTGCAGATTCTACAAGAAAATGCCAGGGTATCTGTCCATGAACTGAAGCTCAAAAGAAAGTGGATCATCCAGCAAGACAATGACCCAAAATACCACAAGCTGTATGATCCAAGAATGGTTAAAGCAGAAAAAAATTGTTTTGGAATAGCCAAGTCAAAGTCCTGACCTCAATCCTGTAGAAATGTTGTAGAAAGACCTGAAGTGGGCAGTTCACCTACATCCCTGAATTGAAACTGTTCTGTAAGGAGGAATGGACTAAAATTCCTCCAAGCCAATGTGCAGGACTGACACACAGTTATTGGAAACATTTAGTTGCAGTTATTGTTGCCGAAGAGCAGACACACCAGTTACTGAAAGCAAAGGTTCACATACTTTTGCCACATACAAATATGTCACTCTGGATCATTTTCCTCAATAAATCAATGAACAAGTATGTTTTTGACTCATTTGCCTAACTGGCTTCTCTTTAACTAGTTTTAGGACTTGTGTGGAGAACAGACCACGTTTTAGGTCATATTTATGCAGAAATGAAAATTCAAAAGGGTTCACAAACTTTTAAGCACCACTGAATATCACAGGATGGTTGTTGTGGGGAAATATAAGGAGGAACTATTATGTATGCCACCTTGAGCTCCTTAATGAAAGGTAGGATGTAAATCAAACAATAAAATGAGTTGTTTCACATTATATTGCCTGTCATTTATTTTAAAAAATACAAAGCATTATACTTTTATTGGAATAATGAAAAAAATGCCAACTTGGCTCACTAAATTTAAGTGTATGTTTAAGCAAGCAACCGTTTAAAGGTAGGATATGACAAAATGTTCATTCTTTCAACTACTCAATAAAATCTGCCTGGTACAGGGTTAGAGATTAAAGGTAAAAGCTTGTATCAATCTGTTGTGGCTGAAGCAATGGTTTTGCACAAAATGGTAAGCTATAAGGTTTTTTAGTGAAACTGGGTCCTCTTTCTATGTGGAATAGCTAAAGTATTACAGTACCTATTTGTGGTTTATCTGAATGCAATAAGCATGCTATTTCTGGGTGGCTTTGTTGGAAGAACTACAGTGGTAAGAGAAGGTATGTGAATCCTTTAGAACTATCCATAATTTTGAGATACAGTGACCAACAATGTAATCAGTTTAATTAAATATTGATAAAGAATTGTTAAAAAAAACACTCAAAACAGTGTATCTTTTCATGTCTTAATTGTATGTATTGAGGCAATACTCACTGTCTTTATCGAATAAAATATATGAAATTTTAGTTTTAGAAATTAGTTTCACTTCATTTAGCAACAATGGCTTTGGCCAATATTTCCTGTAGCTGTCAATCAAACCTGTACATTAGCATAGAAATACTTTGGCCCATTTCTCTTTGAAGAATTGCATCAACTTGTTAATAGCTTGGAGCTTTCTTACATGAACTATCTGCTTTAGATCACAACACAACACTTCAGTTGGGTTAAGGTCAGCTTTGACTTGAACATTACAAAGTACAAAATTTCTTTGCTTTAGCTATTCTGCTGTAAATATATGTGTGTATTTAGTACTGCTGTGCTATATGACCAACATTAGCTTGCAGACAGATGCCCTGATACCGTCTTGTAGAATTTGCTTTTGCAATCCAGTATCTATTATTTTCTCAATGATTGTGAGCCAGCTAGTCCTAAAATCCCTGCTGCCATGTTTCGCAGTTGGGATGAGATTGTTTTGTTGAAATGTGGTGTGTGTA